AGTATTTGAAGAAAATCCAGCTTTACAGTAGCTGGGAAAGGAGGGACTATATTAATAGTCTTTTCAGATAATTGTGGATGTTTTTCTTTGCTACTATACCAAAACATGTCAGATAACTATAGCTGACTTTAAATGAATCAGGTAACTTCTTAGAGTTGTAATGTGGAATTTGAAATTATGTCACTGTACTTCTTGTGTCCTGTTACATTTTGGTCTGTCTTACACTTGAATGATCTTTTACCCATCCATGTAAAATCAGGCATTGGACATTAGGAAACATTAGTTCACTGAGTTATGCAAATCTTCTGTAAGTGTAATTTTAGACACTATTTTTAAAATCATATTTGTTATTGTAACCACCAGTCTCATCTGAAAAACCATTAAACACTGGGAAACTTTAAGCTCCTGGTGACAGATTCGAGTTTTCCCAAATTCTAACTGCGGCTTGAAAGAATGATTTTTATCACTGGCAAGTTACTGTCAGATGTTTTTTCTCATAATAACAGGCTCCATTCGTTCACTTTTGAGAAAATGTCTGCCAAATACCCAAGTCTATGTTCTTTCAACATATGTCTGTCAGATGTTCTTTCAAGTAAGAATGGTATTCCATGAAAAAAGCAGCTAATTCCGCTCCACAGCTCAAACAGTTGACTGCACAAGTGCTTTTCCTCAGGGCAAACATCATATAGCAGAAGTGCTCGATGAGTGGGAGCCTTTTCATCACACAGAATCTTAAAAAGGCATGTGAGGATCAAGGTGGAATAAAACTAAAACTTTATACTGCTTTTTCGTTGTTCTGCTGAGTGAGTGTGGTGGTGAAGAACGCAGCTGCTGTCACTGCCTTCATTCAGGCTAAGGTGCCAGAGCACGTGTGCCCTTTGTCTCTTTTGCCCATCACTGCATGTGTAAAGGTGAACGCCGTGGAGAAGGCAAACGACATCTTAATATTCATACAAAAATAGAGTGTTGGGACCCTCCCCAGAGTTTGCAGACCATGCTTTGAGAAACAATCTAGTGCGATCCTCTCTTACTAAAGTGGAGGAGCTAAGGCCAAAAGGATTATTATCTTGCTCAGGCTCATTCCAGTAGTAAATGGAAGACCCAAAGCCGCCTCTGCTCTCTTTCTTACAGGTAATGCAATTTGTCTTGTTTTCCCTGAGGAACTGCCTGCCCCACCCCTCAAAAAAGGAAAATTCCCCAGATCTGAACAGTATCCCACAGCACCCATGTTTTATCAAGTTTACTAAAGGGGCAGGACTTACCACATAAAGAATTTAGAAATTCTTTCAGCATTTGTAGACTTTTTCATTCAGTCCTAGTGTTCTCCGATGACCCCAGTTTTAGAAACAAATGGGATAGGATTCGAACATATCTAGGAAATTTATATTATATGCAGAATTATTAAAGACCTGAGTAATGATTTTTTTCCTTCATTTTTGCTTATCATAAAAGAACTTTTTGTCAGTACCTAAAAGTGTTAATAGGGGCCGGCCCCGTGGCCAAGTGGTTAAGTTTGCGCGCTCCGCTTCGGCGGCCCAGTGTTTTCACTGGTTTGGATCCTGGGCGCGGGCATGGCACTGCTCATCAGGCCATGCTGAGGCAGCCTCCCACATGCCACAACTAGAGGACTCACAACTAAGATATATGGCTATGTACTGGGGGGATTTGGGGAGAGAAAGCAAAAAAAAAAAGATCGGCAACAGTCGTTAGCTCGGGTGCCAATCTTAAAAAAAAGTGTTAATAAATTTATTGTGTAATTGTTCCTTTAAAAAAGTTACATTTGGCATAAGCCTGATTTGTTCACCAGGAGCTCTGTAAAAGAAGGCTGCTCATGTGAGAGCCTGGCTTTTAAGCACTAGGGCATTGCAAAGGGACTCACTCCGTGTAAATTTCATTAACTGCCTCTCCAGCAACCGTGCTACAGATTCCTGTTAAAAAAGGAAGCTCTCCCTCTCTGGACAGTTAGGCTCTCTGATTGGAAAATCTTAGTCAAAAAGATCTTTATTTTCTCCACATAGAGATGGCTTATGTGGCACTCACCAGCCACTCGAGGAGATTGACATATAAATGGAATAACTGCAAAACGCTTTTCAGAGTTCAGTGTATTGGAATGGAAGGAGAACAGCTTTGGTGCCAGACAGACCTGGGTTCAAATCCAACTCTCACCAGCTTTGTGACCTTGCAAGAAATAATTCAGTTTCCACGTCTGTAGACTGGAGATGTTAATGTCAGGAGCTGGTAGAGGATTAAGTGAGATACTAGGTTAAGCACTGCGTCTGACTCCTGACACAGGGACTTGCAGAACTTCATCATGGAGTTTAGAGTTTGAGAGGTTGAGGAAAGAATAGGAGTTGATGAGCAGAAACAGGAACATATACACTATCTACAGTAAATTTTCTCATGAGGAGAAGGAGATAGGACAGTAACTTAAGGAGGAGATCAAGCCCAAGGACTCTATTGTTGTTTTGCGTGTGTGTGTGTGTGTGTGTGTGTGTGTTCAGCTAAAACAAAGAAGAAAACGACAATACAGTTGAGAGTTCACACATTTAGTAGTTAATATACTGTGCAACTGCATGTACCAGACACAGATCTAGGCACTGGAGACCTGGCAGTGGACAAAACAAGCCCCAGCTTTCTTGGAGCTTACATTCCAGTGGGAGGAGACAGAGAATATAATCTCGTTATAAGGATAAGTGCCATGAGGACAATTAAAGCAGAGAAAGAAAGGAGCAAGCGATTGCAGGGGGCTGAGCAGCTGCTTTTAGATAGGATGGTCAGGGACGGCCTCCCTAATCGCTGGGGAGCCCACTGGTGGTGCAGGGTCCTGAGGCAGTGCGAGGGCCTGCGGATAAGTGTGGGGCCCAGAACAGGGTTGGGAATACTCCATTTCCTTACTCTGAGATGCACATTTTAATGTTTCAGGACTTGAGGTGGATGTTGCATAGAATGATAGGGCTTCTCACTCCTCACCCTCCCCCCCCCCCAGAAAAGGTAAATTTATTTGTGTTGTATAATTAAAGAAGAGAGTGTAGAAATAGAAAGAAGCCATGGTGAATGAGTTCCTACTTGAGGACCTCTCTGTTCTCCATGAGGTTTTAGTCACTTCAGGCCGCTGTAACAAAGTGCCAGTGGCTTACAAACAACAAAAACTTATTTCTCCTGTTCTGGAGGCTAAAAGCCCAGGATCAGGGTAGCGGCATGGTCAGGTTCTGGTGAGAGCCCTCTTCTGGGTTGCAGACTGCCATCTCTCCTTGTATCCTCACATGGTGGAGAGAAGGTGAGAGACTTCTCTGGGGTCTTTTTATAAGGATACTAATCCCATTCATGAGGGCTCCACCCTCATGATCTAATTACCTCCCAAAGGCCTCACCTCCAAATACCATTACACTGGGGATTAGGATTTCAACATATGAATATTGAGGGGACACAAATATTCATTCCATTGCAAAGTCAATGCCAAAAATCATTGGCAAGAGAGAGAGCTGTGGGGCTCGGTGGGGTAAGCTGGGGGTCAGGTAGAAGGAGAAACCTGGGCTAGCTCCAGTGAGGAAGTGAGGGGAGCCTGTTAGGGAGAAGACGCACATTGTGGAGTAGGTCTGCAGTTCGAGACTGGAAACCGTAAATGTGTAATGCTGTCCAGTGTTACAGTGGTTAGATTTCTCCAGCACTAAGCAGCAGGCAGCAGGAGTGGAAAGCACAGGGTGGAGCCGCTCAGGGTAGGTGCTGTAGGAAGACAGCAGTGGTGTGAACCCACAATATTCTGGGGATGTACATGGATGATCAGCCATGAAGCCAGCTCCAGAACCAGAAGTACCTCCCCATGTGCACGTGTACAAACGTGCACAGCTTCGAGGAAAAGAGAAGGCAGGCAGGTGGACTGCGAATCGTTCCATCTCTAAGGGAAAATGGAGAGTTAACTCTTACATGCTCTTAACCTGTAAATGAGAGTAAATGTTTCCTTCAACCAGGTTTTGAAGTTGTCACCCTAAGAACAATAAAGGTATTAATGGAGGAGAAGCCAGGCAGAATTCAGAAGAAAAGGAGTCCATAGTGGCCCACAGCTTTCAAACTCTGATGACTTCGCTCTTTGTAGTAGCTCAGGTCAGCATCGATTACATGAGCTGTACCTCAGAATCTGTGTATGCCGGTTAACTCATACAGCCTCACAAAGGCAACCACCACAAATCCAGTTACCTCAGCACCAGTCAGTGCCTGGTGCTTCATCGTCTTTTTCTTTACTTTCTTCAAAGTGTCAGTATTGTAGGGGGTCTCTCTATGTTAAGGTAAGGTGTGCCTTGATTAAAGAAGTAAGTAACAGTCAAGACTCACCAAGCAGGAGTTTTAGGGAATAATTATTGATATAACAAAGGAATACATGGTCTGCAGTCATAGTTACAAATCATGAATTATTTGACATAAAAGCTGAGGTACAGGAAAACTTGCAGCAAAAAATGTTATAAATTACTGTGAGTTGAAGATAAATCAGAAGTGAAGATGAAGCATCTGTAAAACTATACTATAAAGCAGTGGAACAATTATTTCAGTTTTTAAGTTGCACTTTACACACTCAAAAATGCCTGTTGTATGTATATAAAGTAAATCTACTTTTGAAATTACAGTATAAAAATAAGAATATCTTTGTGATTCTAGTCCCTTGCTCTTAATTATGCTGTTTTTGAAACATTGTGGTCTTTCCCACTTTAGTTTCATAATCCTGGTGTTTTGACCGAAGGCAAGAACCTTCCAACCTTCTGTGTGTGTCCTAGTTTAATTGTTCCAACTGACTACACATTCTGGTGCTGAAACCTTATCTTTCTGTTTATCCCATGAAGGAAAAGGTTTTCTTCACCAACTGTCATTTTGTTAGTCATCCCAGATGCTTAACTGTTCCAACTGATATTGAAATAGAAGATTAAAAAAGAAGGGGCTGCTTTGTAATTTGTTGGTGGAAGATTTCTTGCTGTGAGATATCTGTGCAGCTTACTGCAGCTCTTTTGCAGGAGATGTTTCCATGCTCACCAGGCCTGAGAAGCAGCTGAAACAGAAAATGTCAGAATCTCCTGGAAAGACAGTGTGCACAGGTATCTGTTATGGGTGATAGCATGTCAAATGAAGTGATTCTCTGCTTTTACCTTGATGAAGTTCAGTTAACAAGCTCTTCTCAATTTCAGCTCTCTGACTCAACTGAATATTAACAGTTCTAGTAATGTTAACAGCAAAATGAATAATGGGAGGATGGCATTAATAAAGTATTTCAAAAGTTTCTCTTTGTCTTGCTTTGTGTCCCCCATAGATCATTAGCTCTTGGTTAAATTTTTGTGTTACTCAGTCATTCGTAGATTTGGGTAAAAATACAAGATTGATTGTTTTATAATAACGAATAAAATCTTGTGTATGTAACAATTTTGTTTTTACAAAAAGATAACTTTATCTTTCTAAATGTATTAAAAATAAAAATATTTCATCTAGCTTTCAACTCTTTTTCATCAGAAGCACTTGAAATTAAAAACAATTCCTCCCAGAAATAAGGACTGATAAAAGGGGGATTCATTAAAATGAAGGGGAAATTCCTTGAAATTGAAAATTATGAAAATATATTTTAAATGATAGAGCTTTTTAAGTTTTATTTTCATTTGGGACATTGTATGGCTCAAAAAGAATAATTAGTTACTTGGATTTAACAAACCACATTATGTTATTTTTTTCTTTTATTGCCATTTATATTTTAGGTAAATAGCTTTTAAATTCTTCCATAAAGAATGCTTGTTTCTTCTTGCTTTATAATATATTACATATCTAATTTATTCAGCTTTATGGGCTGCAGTACCTCTTTTGGTGCCAAACTTTTCTTTCTATATTCAAGCTATCCTGATTTCCTCCACAAAATACTGAAATTTGCAAGAAAGTGCTTTCAAAATTCAGGTTGTCCTGCCCCTGCCCTCTGTGAGAGTCCACATGTTTTCTCTTCTGAATTGAGAAATCACACAGCCATTGCTCTCACCGTCCTCCAGAGATGTGACCAGCATCCTTAGTCCTACTCTAGGCCCCATTCCTCACAAGGCCACTGAGACCTGGGCTCAATCCTACTCCATGAACTGTCTACGAGGGTGGGTGCCTTCTTTCCTGCTAGGTTTGAGAGCAACAACAATTAGCATCAATACTCAATATAAAGAAAAGGAGAGAAGAGTGTCCCCATAAAACAGCTCTTTAAAAGGCACATGTTAACTCCTATTCACTAGAATTGTTCATCTGATTAGCACCTTCTCAACTGAGTTGCAAAAATTAGGGACAGGGAGTAAGAGAGCCTAATAGGATGGATCAGATGTAGGGAAAGTTGAACTCCCAGAGTGGATGGCAGGGGAGAGGCATGAAAGAAAAAATGCTTTATGATTTTATCAGGAGCGTTATTCACAAGCAATAGCCATTTCTTCCCTCTTACCTTCATTTACCTCTCAAAAAAGAAACACCAGTTTAAGGATTCAGTACTATTTCCGTATGATTCCATGTCAGGAACCTCATACTTTTTGCCAAGTGAAAGTGGAAAACCAGTGTCTGCTGAGCACTAACTTGTGGTAGGCACTACCCTGGCACCTTCAGGGGTACTTTTTCCATTTAATCCTGACAGTGACCTTTGTAGCCAGATACTTTTATGCCCATTTCATAAATGAGAACATTTAGGCTCAAAGAGTGACTTTCCCAAGCCATAGGACAGAGCCAGGAGTTGAAACCACGTCTGTCTGAACCCCAAACCCATGCTCCTTCCACTGGAGAGTGTGACAGTGGCCATAATGATACATAATAGCTTACCATCAGCACATAGAGGTGGGAAGAGCCCTGGGAGTCACATGGGCCAAGGTTTGAGTTTCAGCGCTGTTACTTACCAGCTGCAAAATCTTTATCTGTAAAATGTACATAACAGTAATTCCTAACTCAGGTTATTGTAAGGATTAAATGAGATAATGCATGTAAAATATTTTGCTCAGCGTCTGACACATAAAATATTCCCTATCATTGGAATAATGTTTAAGAAACAGTATTGGTAAGTGCCAGGAAATAAAGAAACACTGGTGCTCAGAAAGCAAGAATTCCCTTTCTTGCTAAACTGGGAGGTAACTTCACTGTTTGGCAAGACAGCTCTCAGAGGCCCGTGCTGAATGGAAGGTGCCTGGGTATCACTGGTGTTTTTACAGGAAGAAGGGCAGGGAGCTAGCTCAGAGGAGAGCAAGTATGCCAAGGAGAATGGGCAAAACTAGACTCGCAATACAAGATACCCAGTTGGGAATGTGTTTATTTCCTTTATATAGTGTCAAATTTCCTGAAATTTGTGCCCCAGATGTAATGACTCTTGGAGGTCTTAGTGCTACAGATATGGGCACTAGAAATGATATTTGGCATCCTGAGCCCTTAGAAACAAAAGAACACTTGTGCTTGTTGCCAGTACATTTTACAGGGCGCTCACTACGGTCCACGCTCAATAAATTCTGTTGACTCTGTTGCCACAGAGGCTGGACAGTGCCCTGGGGAGAGGGTAGGCAGTGGCTAAATGTGTTTATAGGTTTTTCAGCAAGATTAAGTTGAGCTCCCTTGTGTTATGAGGCATTTCTTTTATCTCAGACTTCTCCAGAGTTTATCATATTTGTTTTAACCAGAGACCATCTTGGGAAACAGTTTGAACCCAAACTGGAATTTATTATTTGAAAGCCAAGTGGGAGGGAGAACAGGGATGCCAACAAATAAAACTGAAAATAGAGTTTTTCAGTTTAATAAAATTAAAACCTAAATAACACCTAAAAATTTTGGCTCTTTTGTGGCTAAGACTTGGCAGCACTTTTGTTCTGAGCCTGGATCCAGGAAGCCTGTTTCAGGAGCAAGGAGTCTGTCTCCTGCCCTACCTGCTCTCTTCTCCGTGCTCAGCAGTAGGCCTGTGAATCCCAACAGATGGAATAAAGGAACTCTGCCCAAGCCAACAAAGGGACGACCAGGAATAACTTTGTTTCAAAGCAACGAAGTAGGCCTTGGTTCTGCCAGTGGAAATCAGGAAGGGAGTTGTTTGTGGCCGTCTAGAGAATTGCCTGCCGAATGTACTTGTCTCTTAATATTGTCCATGCCAGCTGTGTTGTGAAACGGTTTGATCAAGCTGGCATAGGTGTAGGCACTTAGTACTCTTGAGCCCTCATTCTTCCTTCTGCGGCCTCTGCCCTGCAACCATATCCATCAGATCACGTGTTTTGGTGGTGATGGAGGAGGGGGACCCACATTGCACTTTCTCTAAACAAATATCTGGCAAGCTTATTAGATTTATCAGAATCCTATGGATAGTAAATGGCAAATTCAACTCTAAAAATCTGCTTTCATCTTAGAATGACTATTAATTTTTCATGAGTTCTGTCTAATAAGCAGGCTTTCAGAAAGAATCAGTTAATGGTAATCAAAGTTTTAGGATATGATAAGCCATTTCTATTGCAAATTTTCTGTTTTTTCTCCTTAAAATTCAGAAATAATATTATACTTTGAATTAATTAGGGCAACTTTATATTATAATTTTCCTCCTTTTGAGGGAAGTGTGAAAGAGAAGGTTATTGCTTCGAATTGTAATGGGACAGATCCAGGTTGGGTCGACTTTAGCTTAACTTCCTTAAGCCTCATTTTTCTTAATCTGTGAAAGGAGAACAATAATATTTATTTGCAGAGTTTGTGTGAGAGTTCAATGAAAAGACCCAGCGTGGATTCTAGACCATAATATGGACTCTATCCTCCTCGTTTCCCTTTAATCCACAGTTAGATCAATTTCTCACCAGCTGTAAATGTCACTTTTCAAAATAGTTTTTTAAATATGCTTAACATATTAAAAACAGCCCACATTTAAAATCCTAAGTATTCGCATTGTATAATTGTGCAAAATTAATTTTACAGAGTGAGCCCTTTATGTTTTCAGTTAATAAAAATCCACGTTTAGTGCCTGAGAGTCCTTTCCATCTCTTTAACTGTGTTATGGGTGATTTTGCAGGATTTCCAGAAATTATGAATGTCAGTGGAAATCTCTCCTTCCTATTTAGTGCACAGTTCTATGAGATCCGTAATTTAGTAGGTGACAGGTGAGGGTTTAGATCACACTGTCTGAAAGGCCTTGTAAATGTGTAGTGGAGTAAACCGCTGTTGTAGCCACACTGCCAAGAAAGACTTCCTACAGTCCTACCATCTTAGCGTTTTAAAAATTTAATGGCATTTTCAGCTTCTCTAAAGACTCCTATTGTTCAAAATATTTTAAAAAGAAAAAAAAAAAACCCCTGTAGTTATTCTAACATAAGTGACCTTTATTGCAAATTGCCTTGTTTTATCCTAAAGAGCCAAATGTTTGGACGAATAATTCTCAGGACTCAATTGTCCTTAGGAGGTAATGAGCTCTCATACTTCTCAGTGCTTAACTTTGGGGGCTAGTTATGTACTGCCTGTCAGATTATTAGATTGCTTCCCTTATTATTAGCAATTCTTGTCATTAAGTAGGCAAAGAAAATAGAAAACGTGAGCCACTCTCAGTGTGTAATCTAGATACAGTCATTTATGCAGACACACTTACCCGTCACAGATATCCCAAAAGAAACCCCTTTTTAAAATCGATTCAAAATGGAAACTTTTGTTTTCCTTTTATTCATTCAACAAATATTTATAAACACATCCTGTGTGCCAGGCACAGAGAGTGGAAAGTAAGGATTTTTCCCTCCTGACCTTTTAGTGCTCCTCAGTGCCCTCACCCTGAAGGTCACCACTAATACTAGTTTCTTTTGTTTCCTTTAAGAGATATTCTGTGCATACATAGGAATATATTTGTGTGTATATCTCAGTGTTTTTGTTAAATGCAAGTGATAGCATACTATAAGTGTCGCATCTTGGAGAGTGTTTCATATCAGTCCAACTCATTCTTCTTTTCTACTGCTACATGATATTATGTGATGGTTGGATGATTATTTTATTAGTACCCTGTTGCTGGACATTTAAATAATTCCTAGGGGTACTTTATTCTTCTGTGTTTGTGGCCTTGCCTCTTTCTCCCACCTTGCATTTCTTGTAATACATCAATATCATTCCCCATCACTTCATTCTGTTAAAAATGAACCCAAAGCAGCCAATTATTTTAACTGCAAAATGAGTTTATTTGGGAAAAACCAAAGAATTGCAATTCAGGACCTGCATGCTTGCCATAGGCAAGTCCAGCAATCAAAGGAGAAGAACATTATTTTATAGGGAAAAAGGAGGAAATTGGGAACGGTTGTTTTGAATGAAAATCCATTGGAGAAAAGCAAGAATTCAGGGTGGTAATGGTTTCTCATTGGCTGAGTTGCTGGGGTCGTCATTTCTATTTGGGATGTAATGCACATTTCTTCCTGTTGGGGTCTGTAATTGATGATTCTTCCTGTTGATGACTTCTTTTTGTTGGGTCTATAATTGACTGTCTTTCCTGTAATCGACCTCCAGTGGTACTGCATGAGAGCTCCCCCTTCTGTCTGGGAAATGGGACTCAATACCACCCTCATGGAGACTGTCACCCTTGTCTGTACTTCCCAGTAGATCCAAGCGAGCCTGAGTACATTGAATTTACCCTCAAAGGCCTTATCTTTTCACCCCACAGATTTCTTGTGATTAGCTCTTGATTATTGGTCATGAAGCCAACTGATAAGCTCTTCTACCCCAGTATACCCTTCTTTAAATGGCAGGGAACTTGAGGAGAAGGAGTGGTGTGGCAGCCTCCACACCTGTGGTCTGGGAGTCCGTGGTTTCAGGTTGCCCAGGCTGCTCACTGAGCAGTGCTCTCCCCTGCTGGGGAAGCTAGTCACCCCAACGAGATTCCCTTGGTGCCAGACCACCATCAGCCTCCTTTTCCTTTGAACATCTTTGCTCTTCCTGTGTGATTTTATTTCCACTGTAACGTATAAACTTTTGAAGATCAATCGAAGCACGTTACCTTTAAATGCATCATAATTAGCCCATTCCCTTTTGGAATGGCTCTATAAAGTATATTTAGTCTCATTTCTGGAAACCTTAACTGTCAGGGTTGTTTTCTTACACTCGGTCATAAAAAAATAGGAAGCCCCTTCCCAACTGAAGTCTTTAGAGACTGTGAGGTGACCTTGACCACGGGTTGTTGCTTCAGCTGCATCTTCTGTTCTTTGTTATTTCTGCTCTTCTTCATGTTGACGTGACCGTTCTCTGCCTGCGAGGTCCAGTTTTCCCTTTGTGGCTGTCCGTCTCCTCTTCACTCTAATTGCTCTCTTTTCTCTGCTCTGTAAGTCTGATTTCTTTAAAGCACTTTCTTCTTCAGAGCTTCCTGATCTCTTTGACTATTTTAGTTTGTCCCCCAACAGCATGATTTACTGTTCTCTCTTATTCTTTCCTCAGATGGTCAGTCAGTTGGCCTCACCTATCCCCTTTATCTTGAAGGGTTTTATCATAGTGCCAACCCATTCCCTTATTCTGGCAGTGGGCAAAATAACTGAAAAAAAATAATGTCCCAGAGATATATCTGCTATTTCTTTTTCAATTTTCAAAATATGGAAGTGTTTGAGTTTGCTTTTAAACTGTGTACTTTTTTCTTTTTCATTTTTTAGAATTTTCTAAGTGCAATCTGTAAATGCCTTATTTCAGCCATTAATCACTTTATTACCACTTACAAATTCAACAAATAATTATTGAATTCGAAATGATGTGGGGTCGGCGAGCTAAAGAGTCAAAAGAAAGATTTCTTGGACTCTCAAGGTCTGGCAGTAGTGCTCTTTTATTTAGAGAATAGTATACAATAGCATGGGGACAGGACCCATGGGCAGTAAAGAGCTGCTGCCCTGAGTTGAGTGTTGGGGCTAAATTTATAAGGCATGGGTACGTGACTTATTTTTACTGGAAAAAGAAAAGATGATGTAAAAAGTCGTTAAATGATTTCAGTGCAGATGGGGTCTGGTTATTGTGCGGTCGTATAACTTTAGATACGAATCTGGTCATATAGATTGGCATGTAGGTGAGGATGCCCTGGGCTTCTCTCCCTGGGGCAGCCCTAATTCATACCATAAAAATCCACTGGGTCATATAGATCGGCATGTAGGCCAGGTCACCTTGGGCTTCTCTACCTGGGGCAGCCTTAATCCACATCACTACCACATGCCCAACACCGTTCTAGGTACTGACGACACAAACTCCCTGCCTTGAAGGATTTCGCTCCAGTGAGGGAAGACAGCAGACCATCATGTAAGCTGTAGGATGGAGCAAGTGTGCTACAGAAAATTCAAATGGGACAGAGGGCCCAGGCGTTCAGAACAGGCGTACAGTTTAATAAGGCGGTCAGAAAAGAGCTCCCTGGAAAGAGGCCATTTGAGCAAAACGTGAAGAAAATGCTGCAGCAAGTACTCGAGATAAATCCGGAGGAGGAGCGTCGGGCAGTGAAAGCAGCAAGTGCAGAGACTCAGGAGTGGGCGAGTGGCACAGTTAAGGAACAGGAGAGAGCCACCGAGGCTGGAGGGGAGCGGGTGAAGAAACAAGGCAGAGAGGTTCCCAGGGGCGGTCCTGAGGCCTTTTAGGCCATGGCAGGGCCTCTGGCTTTGGCTGTGAGATGAACAGCAACTGGACAGTCCGAGCAGACCAGTGAGGTGATACGTCTTGTGCTGTGATGTCTTGTTGTCACATATTATTTCAAGAGGATTTATGACTGATTAAGGACAAAATAGTCTTTCTTCTAGCTCTTCTTGTGGTAAATATTTTGTGCTCAATCAATTAGTAGGAGTGTGAACTAGAGATAAATGACGCACTGTTGTCTCTTCTCTTCCTTCCTCACACCCAATCTGTTGTGTAGACACAAAGACCATTGTTCTTGTTAGTATAATTATTTAAGAAGCCTTGTCTCTAGGTAACCAAAAGCTATCCATAATTTTAAGCTTTCTGCAACTCTCTCAATCCTGATTTAATATATTTATTCGCAACTTACTCCGGTATTATTCCAAAAAGAAGAGAGGATGAGGCTTAAAATGATAGACAATTTAAAGGCTGTGAAAATAGAACTAAAAAATAAATTATGTAGGAAGAAGAAACGAATGTAGTTGCCCCATGTGGGCGACTGTCGCAAGGTGGCTGAGCAGTCAGTTTACCCTTGCACTTCGCGATAGCAAAGTGAAAAGGAAGATAGCAGATGACATAGTTATCCTCATCTGATTTTCCCAGATCATAGCACTCGACTTTTTTCTTCCTACTCTAATGCAAGCTACCATGTGAAATGTGTTTAACAATCTTTTTTCCACCAATGGTTGCTTTCTAAAATAAGTTGGTCAGTAAACATTTCAACCTTATTCTTACTATGCTACTTATTTGTATATTTGCAAAATGTCATTTTTGCTGAAAGAATCAGCTTTCTGCTAAAATGTTAGTTTGCTAACTGTAGATAGAAAATTTGCGGTTGGTTAAAAATATCTTGTGAATTGTCAGTTTCACCAGCTTGTCAGCTACCTGAGGCAGAAATCATGTCTGTTCATCTTTGTGTCCTTGGTATCCCCTAAGCAAATAGTTCTTCAGTCCCCTACCTTTAACTCCAAAATCTAAAAAGCTCTGAAAACAGAAAATTTTATCAAAAGTTGGCTATGAAAACTCATTCAGAGGCAAAACCTAAACTGGAGTAAGACTTTGGAAGTCTTCCTTTGTCCTGCTTGTTGTGGATGCCATATATGCTGCTGCAGAAGTGTAACAGGCCTAGTCACGGGTGCTCTGCAGACTCTGCTGGGTGTCACGTAACATTTGGTGTATGCCGCTTATTATTGCTCTTCTCAAATGTGAAAGTGTAAATTCCAAAATGTGTCTGGCCTTAAGGTTTCAGAAAGGGGATTGTGAGCCTGCAACAGCCAGTCCCTAGAACAGCGCAGGTACCTGGTGAGCAGGCGTGGAACTGAAGTTTGCCGAATAGGAGGTACTTAGAGATGGGAAACTTTCCTGCAGCCAGGCCTTCTGACCCGGAGGCCTCGGAATAAAATAGGTGATTCTGTCCTTAGAAGCAATGCATGAAATGTGTCCTTAATGCTTCTCTTAGAGTCCTTGTAACTGGTCTGTATTCAGCCTAATAAATCTGGGGTGTATGAAGTGTTATTCTGTCAGTTTAAATTGTGCCTGTTAGCCTCATAGAAGGTGCTTTTTGTGTGATTCATGTATTTTTTTTATTTGTTGTCTCTGTATCTGTACTTATCACATTGTATCTTTTTGTTTTTCTGCAACATTTTTTTAAGGTGTCACCTCAGCTTTTTTAATCCTGGTGACTTAATTGCAAAAACGCACATAAACAGTTTGAAAGGTGTGAGGAGAAATTCACAAGTCACATGGGAAACAGCAACCAAGCTAGCATTCAGTCTGGAATTCATCCACTGTGTAAAACACATCGCACTGCCAGTGGGTCAGATGGTGTAGCCCGAAATGGAGTGAAAAACAAGTTTGATACAAGAAACATTTGTTTCACACTGAAGATACAGTGGAAAATATCATGATGAATTACATATAGACTTCACACTCACAAAGCTTAAGTTGAATAGGGAAAACAAGACATCTATGCAAAATAAATAAAATACACAGTAGAACATACCAGAGGAGGTGACCAGAGGAGAGACTTTGCAGCTCAGGAGATCAGGAAAGGAGGTGGGGTGGCACTGGCCTGTCAAGATGAGTGGGCATTAGGTAGATGGAGAGGATGGACTTGCAGAATACAAGGCAGGGAGAGACAGTCCCAGCTCTCCAGAAGCTCTGTGTTTAGTAGTAGAGATACGCAAACAGATAAATTATTCTGGCACGTGGTCAATGTTATGCAATAGTCAGTCCCTGGAAGGGGGCAGGGGCTGACCTTCAGGCTAGATCTTGAGGAACTCAGGCGTTTGCCCGGTGGGGGAGGGCTGAGTCTCGGAGTGCCTCGTAGGCAGAGTGAATGATAAGATGCTTCTTTCTGCTCTCAGCAACAGGACAGTTACACTGCAGTGACTTTTTATATTGTGTTGTCATTGCAGGTGAATCAAACATTCCTTCTGGAACAATTCAGAGTGGTAAGGGTTTGCAGAATAAGAGTCAGTTTAGGACCATTGCACCAAAAATTGTGCCCAAAGTGCTAACACCCAGAGTGTTATCATGCCATTCGCCGTCACTCTCTGATCAGGTGAATCCAGGACCTTCCATCAACTCCAAGCCCCTGGGGATGCCCACCCAGAATTATGCTCTGATGCAGGTTTCTGGCCAGGAGGGGACATTTTCTCTTGTTGCTTTGCCGCATGTTGCCTCAGCTCAGCCAGTCCAGAAACCCAGACTGCCCCTGCCTGAAAACCTTAAACTGCCTATTCCTCGATACCAACCCCCGAGAAATAACAAAGGATCAAGAAAGAAACCCATTCTGAGCACCTCTGAGAGTGGTTGTATCAAACCTCCTGCCCAGACCCAAACGTCCCCTTGCCCACCTGACCGTCCAGAACCCCCACACACACCCAGTCCATCCGAGCCCGTGCTGGCTCTAGACCACGCCCCCGCCAGCATCACCACGGCTGCACTGACCAATGGAGGTGGCCACGGAGACTCTCGCCCTCCAGTGACCAACGACCACGGAGATCCAAACCCTGCTGCCACCCCAACATCATCCACACCAGAGGAGCCCTCTGCCAAGCAGGGCCTCATGCAGATTTCAGGGAAGGCAAACTTCACAAGCAAGAAAATACCCAGTAAGCCTTCTGCTGTGGCCAGTGAAAACCAGAATGAGCAAGTGGACCTTGCAAAAGCCGTGACCAATTCAGCACCAGCCGTTTTGGGCAATGCAGTTCAGCTGATCTCCTCAGTCCCCAAAGGGAAACTGCCCATCTTCCCCTACTCAAGAATAAAAAGCACGGAGGCTTACAGAAGTGAATCGGATGCTAGCATCACAGAGTTTTCTTTACCTGGGCTCAGGGCAGACTGTGATAAGACAGCCTCCATCACAGAAGGCTTGAATGCAGTCCCCAAAATCGCCAACAAGATCCCTGCCCCACAGGTGTCGAAGCAGAGTCCCTGTGAAAGTGCCTTTTGTCCGGCCACCAAGCTAGATCTCAGCCACAAACCAAAACTCAGTGGTGGGGCAGCAAAGAGAAGAGGAAGAAAACGGAAGGTACCGGATGAAATTTTGGCGCTTCAGGGAAAAAGGAGGAAATGTGTCATTAATAAGTGTAAAGATGGTAAAGAAAGAGTAAAAACTGATCCCCAGGAATCCAGAGATCAAAAACCTGGGGCTATGAAGAAATACCGTAGCATTATGCCTAAACCTGTCCTCGTCATGCCAGCCTTGGCCCCCCTGGCTTCTCCTGCAGCCCCAGTGCAGTCCCACACGCTCGGCAGGATAGCACAGGACGTTCTGTTCAGCCATTCACTCACTCCTCAATATCTCGGCTGTAAGCAGGATGACAGCCCTTCCGCCAAGCCCAGCTCTGCATTCAGAAATGGATTCTCTGGCATTAAGAAGCCTTGGCACAGATGTCACGTCTGTAACCACCACTTCCAGTTCAAACAGCACCTTCGAGAGCACATGAATACACACACGAACAGACGGCCGTACAGTTGTCGGATCTGTCGCAAGGCGTACGTACGCTCTGGCAGCCTGAGCACACACATGAAACTCCATCACGGGGAGAACCGTCTGAAGAAGCTCGTGTGCTGTGAGTTTTGTGCAAAAGTGTTTGGTCACGTCAGAGTCTATTTTGGCCATCTAAAAGAAGTGCATAGGGTTGTCATCAGCACCGAACCCTCCCCCAGCGACCTGCTGCCAGGGGACATGGCAAAGAGCAAAGATGTGAACGTACGGGCGCTGGAAGGGTCGGTGGAGAGGTGAGTGCCGGCGGGGTGGCAGCCTGGGAGGAAGGCTGTTTGCATTTGGGGACAGGTGAGGTTCGCATTCAGCAAGGGGGGTTTGCGGAAGCATCCCTCAGGTTAGGATGTCATAAGGTAGCTCCTCCTGCCCCTAGTTCTGTGAAGAATGACCTCGGTTCTGATCAGTCATGATCTTAATTACTCTAACCCCTGCAAGCCAGTTTGAGGTATGCTGGGGACAGTTGGGTGAGAGATTGTTTTTGGATTGGAAGTATGAAATAGTAAATATTGTGTATAGTTCCTGGTACTCTTTACAAGTAATTTTCCCCATAAGCACGTCCACAGAATTTATGTCTAAACAGCATCGTTTGCCCTGGAACATGGCGTGACACATGGTGGGGACGCAGCATTGGTCTGCTGCATTGACCAGACCCTAAGGTGCCCAGACCTGACCCTCTACATTGGCCCTGTTTTTCCTCTCAGGCCAGGTTCACTTTTTCCTGTGTCATTCCCTTGTGCAGATACTGCTTCCTAGCATAATAAATAAACAAGCTAAGCACTCTGAAAGCCTGGCAGGCGGTCTTAGAGCAATAAGCAAACCAGGGAAATGCCCTCAGTCTGTCCTTTGCAGCAGGTGACAGAGGGAGCTTCACTGAAATGGATTCTCATCAGCACCATGAAAATTAAGCATTTTCCAGCACTTTGGATTCTCTGTCCCTTGTCATTCTTAATTGTCCTAAATTGTTCTAAATACTTTCTATTCAATTTTGGCTTACTCTTAATCATTAAAATAAGGAGTGCTCTGGGGCCAGTCTGGTGGCGTAGTGCTTAAGTTTGTGTGCTCCACTTCGTTGGCCCCAGGTTCGCAGGTTCGAATCCCAGGCACAGACCTAGCACGTCTCGTCAGTCCACGCTGTGGCAGCGTCCCTCATAAAATAGAGGAAGAGTGGCACAGATGTTAGCTCAGTGACAATATTCCTCACAAAAAATAAATAAATAAGGGTTGCCTGTCCTGTTTCTTCCTGGCTTTTCTATAGTTTCTCCGTTTTTCTAAAGAAACCTCACTTCCTAATTGTTTTCCTGTAGTGCCTTTTTATTTTAGGTAAGATGTCCAAACTGCATTCAGTGCTCAAGGGTAGGGTGGGCAATGGTGGCGTGGGACAGTTACCTTCAACCGGACCAAGTGTGCTCCTGTAGCGCTTCAGTTGGTGCTGCCTGACTCCCATGTTGATTGCACCTGTTCCCACAGTAACCAAAGGACAGTTAGCTCCTCTGGGGAGATGCAGAAAGGGAAACAGTCTTTTACTAAAAGGACCCTGCTAGCTTGAGAAATGTGTGGCCCCACACAGGAGTGACAGCTGGTGTTCACCATGGCCTGTCTTGTCCGTGCTCCGTTTACTCCGTCCTTTGTCCTTCCCATCACTGTGGGGATTCTAGGTCCCTGAAGCCTAAGAGCTGGAAGGAAAAGTTCCAGTTGTGTTTTTCTACAAAATCTTATCTGGACTCTTTCCCCTTTTTCAGGGAAAACAAGTCTCACCTGGAAGAAGACCTCCTTCTGAACCAGGCTGACGAAGTCAAATTACAAATCAAATGTGGCCGCTGTCAAATCACAGCTCAGTCTTTCGCTGAAATAAAGTTCCATTTACTTTATGTTCATGGAGAGGAAATTCAGGGCAGGCTACAAGAGGAGATCATACCAGGAAACAAGGGAGCTCAGGAAGAACTGGTTAAACAGGCTGCTCCTTACTGGAAACATCGTCCCGAAAGAAGAAAGCCCGCTGCACACTGTCCCTCCGACGAGGATGTACGTGCGTTTCCTAAATTGAAAAAGCAGCTCTGCGTTCATCGTCAGAATGACGTGGGCGTGCTCATGAAAAGTGAAGGAGGCCAGCCGGTTCCGAGGGAGCCAGGGGAAGAGCCCCGGGGCCCTGGGTGTCCCAGCCCCCGCCCCGGTCTCCTTCAGTCCCAGCGGGGCTTCCACTGTGTCCTTTGTGCACAGACTCTGGGAAGGAAAGAGGAGCTCCTCCTGCACTGGGAACAGCAGCACAGCTGTCAGGACCCTCCCAAACTCTGGACGATTTTAAACGCGCTCTCCAGCCAGGGAGAGGTGGAGCTGTCCCCGAAAACTGAGAAATGAAACGCTGGGCGAGAGCGAGGTTAAAGAGAGTTTTGCTATCACCTTTCTCTCGAAGCTTTGAGTTTTATGGTGGTGCTTAATTACAGAAACCAAACAAGTTAGGATCAGCACTAATGAGCAGAAGGGATGTTTGTACATAGTTTGTTTTCTTATGACATATATCTATGCCCTTGATGCATATTTTTCTAACCATATGCAGCTTATTTTAAAATTCTGTGTACTGTTAATGTCTTAGACTTTATTTCAGAATAAATATGTAAAAAGATCAAAATTTGGAAATTGAAATATAAAAGATTATAGGCTGTTCCTAAAATACACTTTTCAGTAAAAACACGTGTTTGAGTGTGTGTGTGTGTTTTCTGTTCATATGTTTTCTGTTTAAGTAGATCAACAAATGTGATAAATTTCTAGGTGACAAAACCATTTCCATCTCAACCATAGTGTATTATTGATATTTATCAAAGTCTCTGCCTTATTTGAATGTTCTGTAGAGCAGTATATTTAATAGCGTTCTCTCATCTACCAAAATTTAAAATCCATGTTTTCAGGACTTAGTTTTTTTAAAATTTTATTTTCTTAAATGCACATTGCCTTGAAGATTAGCTATTGGTAAGTCTTAAAGCTATAGTGTTTCATATCAAAGTAATCAAAAATGTTTTAGTACTTCAGCTAATAAAACAATCTACTTTTTCGGTTAAAGGTTATTTTCAAATAGTCTTTTGGGCCAGAAAATTTACAAGCTGGAAAGTGAACTGGATAGTTCAGTCCAGATGTCTAGGTGTCTCAGCTGCTTTCCCTCCCTCCCAGGTAACTTCAGTGGGTTGTCGCTCGCTGATCAATTTTAGATGCAACTGTGCCTTTCAAGTCCAGGTTCTCTTTGAAACTCAAGAGTAAATGATTGCCTCTTAAGTTCCTGTGAAATTACCTCGAATCAGAAAAGTTGCCATTTGACGTTTCTGGCCATCCTGGCTGCAAAATCGTTTTCTTAGAACAGGAGAGTTAAACAGTCATCCTACTAAAATTTCAGCCTTTGGATGAAAGCACCGTGTATGTAGCCAGCTCTGTTTGCCCGAAGCTAGGCCCAGGCATCGTCATAACGTTCTTCTGTGCTAAAGGAAGTTAACCTAAACAGAGGAAGAACTAAATTCTAATTGATAGGCTAGTGAGTCTTGTCTTTTTGGTTTTTTTGCTGAGGAAGATTCACCCTGAGCTGACATCTGTTGCCAATCTTCCTCTCTTTTTGCTTGAGGATGATTAGCCCTGAGCTAACATCTGAGCCAATCCTCCTCTATTTTGTATGTGGGTCACTGCCACAGCATGGCTGACAAGTGGTTTATGTCCGTGCCTGGGAACCAAACCCACAAACCTGGACTGCCAAAACAGAGCACACCAAACTTGACCACTGTGCCACAGGGCCAGCCCTTTAAGTCATCTTTTTAATATCTAGTTTTAGAAGCAAGTGTTCATAGGCATGATCTGGCTCAAATAGTACAAAAAGAGAAAACTCAATCCTTGGCTTTTTACAAATAGTTTTATAAATTTGAGAATAAGAGGGTAAGGATAGAAATTTTTGAAAGATTTTGCCGTGGTTTATCGATTGATCACATTCTACCCTGTTTCAAAGAGGTAACATCAGACCTCCACTGTTTCGTATTTTCAGAACTGGGTTAGTAGTAAAACAGCTTTCCCCTTCAGTGCAGTACCCAGTTTGTTTTGGGAAGATTGGCCTTGAGGACGTTAAAAAATGAGACCTGTCAAGAATACTGCTTGAATTCAAACTACAAAATAGTTCACAGACCACTCAGTCCTTAGAAGCTAAGCAGCATTTCTGAAATACTGGCCAGTTGGCCAAGGACAGAGGAGCATTCTGGAGTCTGTATGGAGGCAAAGGTGTTGGGACAGAATGCTTCCACCCAGCGTGTAAAGGAAAGTGTCAAGTCCCCAGGGTTGTGGAGACACCTGCCTGTGGCCAGCGTTTAACCACGTATTCTTGCAGCGAGGACAGAGATAGTGCCTGGAAAGTAGCGAGTCGGGAATGGGGCAGAGAGCAGAGGTGGGGAGAAGATGTGATTGGCTCAAGGCTAAGTGCTCTGGCTGCATCCCCCTGGCAGCAGGGCATGATCTGTGGGGGCGGGGCAAGGGCACTCATCTGCAGGAAACCTTTTTCAGTGAGAAGGAAACTTGCAATGCAGAAAGGCCTCACAGGACGCCTGTATGTGTGCATTGTTGAGAATCAAATGTTTCTTACAGTTCTTAGCTTCTAGAAACACTCCCTGCATTACAGCTGAACAGCCCCAATGTCACCTAAGATAAAGAGTTTCTGGCCTTTAATAGTAGCACTTCTTCAGTGAGAATGGTGGGAAGAGGAACTCCAGTTGGGGAGCGAGTAGAAAAGAGGGAGTATATAGCTAAAATAACTTTGAGAACAGCTCGAATTGATAAGCCAGTGGGTCTTAGTTGATGAGCCGCCTTTGGGTGTAGACATGTTGTTGGCATAGTCCCAACCTACTACCTAACCCAGAGGCAGGTGTAGAAGTGGTGTGATGCTTACGCCATGGGACCTTGAGAGAGTACCTTTCGAAGGCTCTGTTCCTCATCTGTGAAGTGAGCCTGAAGATCCCACCGCAAGGCATTGTTGTAAGAGCCGATGAGACACAAAGAAAATGGCCGGCACACTTGGGCCACGGAATACCTGGTGGCTGATATTTACTATGCTTTCAGCCAGACTTGGAAGAAGAGGTGTGTTCTATCATGGAAAGACCATTCACAACAGCTGAGGGAGCCTCAAATCCAGGATTCAAGGATGAAAACTACTGAGAACCATAGAAATTTGCATCTCTGCATGAAAAGTATATTTTCATTTTTAAATAAACTGGGATTTGGATTACAAGGAGGTTTGGTAAGTGTCTATTTAATCAATAGAGAAAAAGCAAAATTCGCTAAATTGTTCCCATTCCAGGCTCCACCTTGGGCTTCATATTCCCCCCTGTGGCTGCCCCCCCTCTGCCCCTCCTTCACCCTGACGTAGCCGCTCCCACAGTGCCCACTCCCATGTCCTGACCTTCTCGATGGACTTGTCTCTTCCCACGCTAGACTACACGCCTCCTGAGGCCAGGGACTGTGTCTTTGTTCAGCATGTAGCCCCACAGGGTCCAACACCTGATGTGGGATAGAACACAATAAATATTTGTTGGAAAAAAAATTTGTTGAAAAAAATATTTGTCAAAAAAATTAGCTAAATACAAACAGAATTGCTACTTCCCTTTTATTAATAAAGCCAGCTCTAGGAGCAACCAAACTTATAGGTAGGACGGCATCAAGGCAAATTTGGTCTTAAATGCAGCATTTTGCTTAATGTCTTTTGCTTCTTGGAAAGTTGTCCCAAAGCCAGCAAAATGAGATTTTTTCCTTTTCTTTTGGCCCTAAATTATTTCTGAAAGTTACAGCATTTTAGATTTGTATTGTTTTATTAGCTGTCATTTTTACTCGTGTCCCCTGGTGTTTCTCTCCTTCTCTGGGCCTCTTCCTGGTTTAGCCTGACTGTTCCTCTGTTAAGCTGTTCCTCATATGGAAAGCTGTCTCTTCATCAGCACGCCATAAATAATCAAACCTGGGCGCGTTCCATTGCCTTCTCTGGCTCCACACTCCCTCCTCCCAGCTGCACGGCTCCAGTTTTCTGTGGCTCCAGTGACATGATTGTTGGCTGTAAATGCTCAGCTTCATTTATTTATTGGAATTTTCAGATCTGGCCTGGTTTGCTCCATTCAAGCTGCTGACATGCTTTGTTAGGTACGTCTTTTACAGTCTCCCCTTTTCACTGAGCTCTGAGGAAGAGTGCCCTGGCCAGGATGCACTGGGATTCAGCAGAACAGGTTTTTAGCTTCAACTTGACGCTGGCTTCCCTGACACTGGACAGCCAGCAGCTTATCTAGGCTTGTGGTGCAATCCAGTATATATTTTAGCTACATCCACCTCTTCAGGATTGTTCCTTTCGGAGGTGAAATGTTTATTGTATCTCATATTCGGTCTTGGTTATCCCCATAATAAAACACTAACCACAGTTTTGCAAGCATATTTTCAATTTGTGTTACGTATGCAGATGTTAGCAGAACATCACATTTTCCAAACTCCCAAGTGTGAAAATGTTTCAGTGTGTTGCCTAACCTTGGGACAAATCGCCATCTTTTGAAGGAAACCAAATGTGACAACTAAAGGGGGAGCAAAGATTGCTTGCTCTAATTTTGATGTGAAGCTAAGCAGGGTTTTTTCTTTTTTTAGTGAAACTTGCTCCCATCTTCAAAATTGCCCCCCACCCCTTGGTTAGCTTAGCAGTAAAGAATTCATCTTAATAAGAGGGCAATATTGCCTCTTTTAGTATGTTCCAAAAACAAAATTGCAAGCAATTAGCATTATAATCGATCATTTTTTGATAAATCAAACATCCACTAAGTACAACTCAAAAGAAATAAAAGATTTTACCTTCTGTTGTTAAATAGGAATTTAATCTCCACCCAGGAGTTGCAAGGAGACCACCAGGTGTTCTGTAGGCATTTGCAGAAACAGAGCATTGAACTTGATCTGATTACTGCCTGAGTTGTAATGCAGATCTTACTTCAAAAATTTGGCCATGGAAGAGACCCAGGTGGCTCCAACATTGGAGCTGTGTAACCATCCCATAGCTCTGGCTGTATCTGGAAGTAATATTTAAGAGTCTGTGCTGAGGAAACTAAAACATGCCTTTTCCTAGTCTAATCCAAATTACAGCACCGTTACATTTTTCATAAGACATTCATTGAACCAAGACTTTTTGACAATGGTTACACCCAAAGAAAGTTAAACTATCCAAGAAGACTAAGTCAGTTGAATGGTGTTTATTCTTTCTTGAAATAAAGGGCGGGGTGGAGGAAGCAGGAGGGTAGGAGTACCATGTCAAGACAGGGCGTGAGGAGCTTTTTGATGAGGGACGGTCCAGTGGGGCATGGTAAGTAGAAGAGGTCCTGGCTCCAGTGTCCAGGCAGCAAAGTGCCATTAATATTTTGGTATGGCCTCAATAGACTGAACCAAATTTGACATTGCCTATCAAAATCTAAAATGCGCAGACCTTTTGACCCTGGAACTCCACTTCTAGGAATTGTCCGATAGATCATGTAGATATTGCTGCACAAAGGCAGAGACAGCTGTGTGAGGGCATTCACTGCAGTGTTGTTTATAAGAAGCAAAAGACTGGACGCAAATGTCCATCAGAGCTGGTAAAAGAATTACCATACACCAGAGGATGGCCTGCCGTGCTGCAGCGCAGAAGACCCAGATGGTCCTTCACGTGCTGAGGGATG